GAATAATATTGTAATATAATAATTATACTGTTACACATATAATTTTTAGTTATAATAATAATTATAGAATAATATTATATAATAATAATAAAGTGGAATAATAACTGTATTATATATATAGTTGCCCCTTTCAATTTGTGGGGGATCCATTCCGGACCCCCCGCAAAAATGGAGGCTCGCTAATATTGGAGCCCCATTGAAACGAATGGCGCATACATGGCCATTTTAGACATAAGCACTTGTCCCTCCCTGTGAAGAGTGAGACTGTGGACTCCAAATCCGCAAACAAGGAGGGACAACTGTATTGTAATATTGAAATTATTATGCTGTTATACATATAAATGTAATGATAAAGTGGAATAATATAATATAATAACAATAATAGGTATCATAATATAATAATTATACTGTTACAAATATAATTATTAATTATTATTATTATATAATAGTAAAGTGGAATAATAACAATAATATAATAATAAAATAATAGGTATAATATTTTAATATAATAACTATTATACTGTTATACATACAAGGGGGTATCGTAAAGTAATAATTATCACCCAGAAGTAATTATGGTGTATTGATGAAATTTTGTCAGTGTCATCATCACCAAATGACTTTTTCTTTTCCCAAAAAATGAAAATCTGTTGCAGGGTTGCCGATTTGACAACACAGATGACATCATTCATGAAGTGGAAGAGTGGTTTAACGCACCATCTGCAGACTTCTACGATAACGGTATTTGAAGGGTCAAGAAACGCTGGGAAAAATGTGCAAATCTGGATGGAGACTACATAGAGATAAGTTAACAACTACAAATCAAAACAAACTTTCTGACAATTTTTTTAAAGGTGATAATTAATACTTTACGATACCCCCCTCGTACACTTATTATTTAATAACTGCCATAGCAGTTAAAGTGGAATAATAGTAGTATAGCATCAAAGGACGTTTTCACACAGGCGGCTCTAAAGCCGCCTGGAAGCCCCCTGGAAGCAATCAAGAGCCATTCCGGCGGCGAAAACAGCAGCCGCCGAAATGACTCCTGATTGCCTCCGGCAGCAGCCCCTGTAATTCCTTTTTAAAAAAGGAATTACAAAAACGGGGCTAAAGCCGGCTAGCGGCAGGGATGGCGCAGGGATCGCGCAAGATGGGGCGGGGCTTGCTGCGACGTCGTGTGAACACGCGCAGCAAGACCCCAGAGTGAGGCAGGGATGGCGCAGGGATGGCGCTGGATGGGGCGGGGCTTGCTGCGACGTCGTGTGAACTTATCCTGCACAGAGCCGGAGTGGGGCCGGACGGAGGTAGGAATGACTCCGTTTAAAGCCCCGTGTGAAAACGTCCATAGTGTGATAATGACCAACAGCAACAATGGCTGGAAATGGACTGCAGAAACACCTGCATCCTTATTGTAGAAATAATGCAGCTTGACACCACTCGAACTGCTGTAGCACAATGCTGTGGTATTCTGGGATTTGTAGATTGTTGTGGCAGTAGAGCTCTCTGACAGAGAAGGCTAAATCTCTTCTC